CGGGTATCACATGGTATATAAAGACGTACTGGTGCAAACTTTATCAATGCGCTTTTCGGCGCCTGCCCCCTGCCGCCGGCTATGCCAATCGCATACGTCCATCTGTACTGACATCATTCATTCCGATTAAGTTGTCACTTTCAAGCCCGCAGGCCCGTAATGTACGGTTTTGAAAGGGCTCAAAAGCGGTAATTCTAGACTGACAACGACCCTTATTAAATTTTGCTGCTATCAGGACGGTGGAGGTCGCGACAACCGCAGCTGTCGCGGACTCGGGATACGCTCTTGGGCTACCAAGAAAGGAAGAAGTGTGGTGTTGTTACAAAGCGTTGATAGCGTAATTTGAAACAAAAATGATTAAAATGATATCCTTATTGCATCTTGGTGGTGCTGCAGTGGCACTATCCAGTGTTCTAATTAGACGTAACTGGTCCCGAGGTTTTCACTGAGGTTTTCTTTTTGAAACATGCTCCAAAGGTACGACACTTCCCAAAAGTGTGACTTAAGGGGGCTAGTTACGCACAATAACAGCACTGGGTAGCGTCACTGTAGCACCGTCAAGACACACTAAGGAAATCGATGTTAATTATTTGTCAGTCCAACCGCTGTCACACCTCTACTGCTATGATCGAAAGAACGTTTGTGAGTGGCCAGCGGGCGACAAGTGGCCCTGGTACCGAGACGCGCATTGGTTCAAGTTTGAACCATTGAGTTGCATTGACCATACCATTATGGACCACGTGATACTCCCATCCCCAAAACCTAAGTGCGCCCCGAAGATACATTTCGGTGAGCGACATAGGGGAGAAATCAAAGGCATAGTATAACATTTCGTTAAATTCACTGGACATTACCTTCATGTTCGTGTATATTGTTGTCAAAACAGTGTTGAAATTTTCGCAGCATTCATTACACAACTTTGCTGATAAATAGTATGTTCCAAACATCATACAATACACCCTCGGAAAAACCAAAACAAGTGAAAGGTATCACCTTCAGAGTGGTGAGCAGGGAGTCCCATGGGATTTCTCCCTCAGGAGCAGCTACTTCCGAGTCAAAATTCTGAACTTCTTAGAACGATCTCGAGAAAACTGGTACTACTGAATGCATCGTGCACACCTAATCCAACACGAGTGAAAAACACAAAGGTGTGGTATGCTATCTTAAATAAAACAAATGTCAGCAGCGTGCCAGCGGACACCAGCACATCCGGAGTTGTAATACCCTTGTAATACCCGTTGTAAAACTTGGAGGAGAACATCATGCCTTGTGCAAGCGTGATGTGGGAGTACCTACTCCGCTAGGCCCCGAGTCAAGGTGAAAACCAATACAATGTCTCATCGCCTCAGTAGAGATTGTACTCACAGGTGCGCTCACCTATAAACGTAGCTTAAATCGGGTACGATAGAGCGGTCAGCTGAAATCTTCTCATAGCTTGTCCCATACTCCTCCTGGAGTTGCTGTTTCAGAATTCTCAGCGCCTCTGGTGGCGAGTGATGCTGAGCGAGAAGCCCCAGCATTCTCTCCTTTGTCGCCTCTCCGACCCGTCTAAACCTGAGCGTTGCAGGCGAGTCTTTCGCATGGCTGTGGGGCCTGCCGTTGCAGGTCACTCTCATCTGATGGTTTGCGTAGGGCAACCGGCTTCTGTTCCTGCGAAGGCAAAGGACATGGATCGATCAGTTTATACCATAGGGTCACTTACGCACGCTAACATTGCCGCGTTCCACTCCAGCCGCTCTCAATATTCACTGCCCGTATCCAACTGGTAGCACATAACATATCTACGGTCCAACGATGTTCACCATCTCACTTGGAACTACTTGTGTGCTTGAAGTGCAATACCATTTCTTAATAATAGCAAACTATTACTATTTTAGTAAATATGCTCGTTAAAATTTCATCGTTTGATTGCGTCATGGAACGTTGTCATGACGTCAGAGTCGCTGCCAGACTGGCGACGTCAGTGACCGCTGCAGCGACTGCGTGAGTCACTTGTTTGTACAAGGCAAGGTGACGTGGAGGTTTATGCGTGTAAATTCATGTCCCTAGATCGTGTGTGTATGCTTCGGTCTTTTCTCGTGGTGTTCTTGTATGTTTTCCGTTGTGGCATATTATTTACTTGCATTCGCACGTACGTTGACGGCGCCATTCTTACGGTTATTTCATTATCACTTTTATGCTCGTCTTAACTAGTATCTATCCAAATACCTGTGTTAATTGTCGCAAAACGCGGCTCTCGATGGAGACATGCAAACGGTAGCCCAACCTGATTGTGAGCCAATTGTCTTCCATCGTCGAGACGCTTGATGTTGAACCACTTCAAACACGAAAACTGCAGGGGGCCAGCACTTTTCTTGGCTGTGAGTACACTGCAACTGTTGGGTGTTAATATTGTGATTTTGTATGGTTGAGTTAACCGGCACCCCGCGCTGCCTTGCCCCACGAGTTGGCCACGGTGCGACCAAAGCAGGCCTCTGATTGGTTAGATCCCAATACGCGAATACGTGCAGCGTAATGCTTGGTGGAGCAGGGTGAGCTCAGCGCGGCGTGACCTGTGTCGGGGTCGGGAGATGTCACGTGATGACAGGGTATGTGGTTCTTAGATAAAAGAGTGACATGCGAGCTCCTAATTTGTGAACCCAGCATGTGATGAGTTGAGTCTTGCGAAACAACCAAAAAGGTGGGGAAGTCGCGTGACATTTCTTTGGACACATATTTCTGGCTGACTTTCAAAAAGGCGGCCCAAAAAAGGCTGCATGACTCCGCATGCATCAAGAGCAGGGACAAGAGGGTTTGAAGCATTCAAAGTGTGTGAAGTTCGAAGTGAGGTCATGGCTATAAACTACAGGGAATGATCTTGAAACGGCTATCCCAGTTTAAAATCTCATACAAATGCTGACCTGCATCTTAGGATGAGTCAACCTTCATCCTCTTAACGACAGCTGTGCCATAATATATAACGCATGACTGCTAGATGCATTATATGCAGTGCGCGTGCTGGTCCATGCGCGGATTAAGGGGGACTCTAAATGGGATATACCCTCCCCCGCCAAACGCAGGCAAGGCCCATTCCATGAGAAGCTGCTGGGAAAGACGCTTCATGCGAGGTAGACCGGATGGAAGCGAATAACGGAAATGCACAGAACAATGAAGGCAACCTGAGCACAACGACACTGAAAAACATTCCGAAACATTATAATCGCAGCCGCGCTGAAGAACATATCAGGATCCTCAAACATATTGTGGCGACCTGAAATATCATAAGCCGGCAAGAAACGCCCGGAAGACCATAGAACACACGTGGGCCCAAAATTTCATGAGAACAGCAATACTGAATTCATCATTAAACATACCGCAGGTGCTGGAACACCCCGGCCCGAAGCACCAGGGTCCCCAGAGGCTAGTAGGGCTGCCGAAACAGCCCAGACACGCCACGGGACGCCGAGACCGTACGCAGTCAGGGTTCCGAGTAAGACCGGGGGCCGCGTAGAGGTCACAAAGCATTTTAAACCACTTATTCCAATGCCCGCCGTTTTCCCCCTCAAATACCACTCGTAATATGGTTACGTGCCCCGAGGGAACATGACCACCTCGATTAGCCAGACAGCCTGAATACGATCGGAAGGTACCGAGGACGCTTGTCAAGTCAAAGGCAGCCCGCAGGGCTGAATATCGTTACAGTACCTCGATGTACTGGACGACCCGACTGTGTACGGCATCACTACAATTTTTACACTCTTGCAGAACAATTTTACACTCTTTGCCTCGCGCGTGAAGAAGCGAGAGTACGGTCCGGCTATGTGTGTGTGTGTGCGCGCAGGCATATGTGCCTGTGTGTATGGGAGGTTACCCCCCCCCCCCCCGCGGACTGCATCCACATGCCACAATCACGCATAGGACTGTACAAAATTATATATGACAATCGCACCTCACAGCCTGCCGTTTAAGGGTGACAGTCATCCGAGTGGGGCAGCCCAAATTCTGCTCCGAAATTTTCTTTCGTTGGTGGCCACGTTGATCGGGTACCTCCAGGTGACAGCGAAGCCACGCCTGGAATATGTCAGGATGACGTAATCAAAAGCTCTCTAAATTCTCTCTCTAAAGCTCTCTAAATTCCCGCACTCTTCTAAAAGTGGCATGGTGGCGTCAAAGCGAACACATGGGCGATGGCCGTTTTCCCCAAAATATGGCTTAAGGATGAAATCATCCGACTTGAATGATACCTTCTGACATAGACAACGGTTCTACTAAGCCAATACGCACGCACGCACGCACGCAAGCACGCACGCGACGCACGCACGCACGCACGCACGCAGCACGCACGCACGCACGCACGACACGCACGCACGCACGCACGCACGCACGCACGCACGCACGCACGCACGCCGCACGCACGCCCGCAAAGCACGCACGCACGCACGCACGCACGCACGCACGCACGCACGCACGCACGCACGCACGCACGCACGCACGCACGCACGCACGCCACGCACGCACGCACGCCCACGCACGCACGCACGCACGCACGCACGCACGCACGCACCGCACGACAGCACGCACGGCACGCACGCACGCACGCACGCACGCACGCACGCACGCACGCACGCACGCACGCACGCACGCACGCACGCCACGCACGCCGCACGCACGCACGCACGCACGCCACGCACGCACGCACGCACGCACGCACGGCACGCACGCACGCACGCACGCACGCACGCACGCACGCACGCACGCACACACACACACACACACCACACACCACACACACACACCACACACACACAACACACACACACACACACACCACACACACACACACACACACACACACACACACACACACACACACACACACACACACACACACACACACCACACACACACACACACACACACACACACATATATATATATATATATATATATATATATATATATATATATATATATATATAGTGTTTGTACTCACGATTATCTTCGACTCAGCATCTGACTCTCCAGCCTGTCAGTCTGGTCGTGGAACATTACCAAGTTGAAATAGAAGGATGAGGACGATCATGCAAGCAGTACTTATTAGACCAGCACTGAACTTGGCTTGTTGGCATGTCACTTAGAAACACGGCACACTTACCTTGTATCCAACGTGCTTTCCACCGGATTTGGATCCCGATATACTAAATATCCTTTTAGTAAAGGATTGAAAAAGCTTCATCCACTGCAGAAAGCTTTCCTTCTCAGGTTCACACTTAAATGCCACAGTTGTGCCTCGCATTAGTTCCTGGAAGACACAAAAATTATTTAGTACAGAAAAGAAACAAGCATTTCCTTACGTGTTTGCTTACCTACTGTTACCCGAACCCGCCTGTCTGCTTGTGTCTATTCGCATCCATGAAGTACGCAAGCACACCTTGTACGTGCCGCAAGCATCTCACAACATAAGCATGCTGCAGCACTTATCATACTTGTCATGAGCAAGGCAGACCATCAGCTTCTATGATCTAGCCTTATTGGTTCAATGAATCACGTACCGCTTTTCTTTTCGGTAGAAATTCCCCGACGCCACAATACTGCAGATTTGAGTGCCAACATGGACCACGTGCAAGGCTGATAGCGTCGCATATGCTAGTAATTACAGCATTACTGAGCGGTCTATTCCTGGACAAATCATCAAGGTAGGCCTAAAATTGTTCACCATGACCACTCCAATTTGGACTAAATTTCGCACGCGCCTTCATCTACGCCAGAAATCACACCCAAATATTTTTAGGCTTCTGAGTCGCATGGTCCACGAGACGGAGGTCACAGAATTTAAGAAGAATCTGTAAAAGTGGAGTAGAACCTCATTTTAATATATACAATGGCTGTTCAGTCTCATCAAAACTCCATACCATTCAACAGCTGATGATCTCCTGCATCCATGTCACAGAGATGAGCACTTCCCGTCGTCATTTTTTGGCCACGTGACCGCGTGACCTTTCCTTACATTCATAAGTTTTCCCAAAAATTATACTACAAAATAAGGAAGGACACCCGGGCATTGCCATACGTTGTGATGATGATCGACATAGATTGATCAGCCGATCGGCATCAACACGCTGACCACGATACGTTACATTGCTTTTACCATGCATGGCGCATTTCCATGATCATACACAGTTTTTTATGCAACTCCAACTCTGTAACGTCCATCGAGGTCAACAGTGAGGTCACGGCATGGGCCTGTATTCATCCTGCATATGATGCGACATACAGCCGATACCGAGGGCATATGAAAGCTCGTTCGCCCAACAAAACGTTAGCACCATTTTCAAGTCAGTGAGAGGTCAATGCAGATTGCGTATCGGTCAGTAACCTGACCTTTGGTGGTGTCCATGGGTGAGAAGTTGCAGATAGTTGATTGACGGTGTCATCTTAATGCCCCTCTGAGAAGAAAGCGATAAGCGCATAACGCACGCAAAAATACTTGGAAGAAATACAACAATATCTTCGATGTCCTAGCACAAGAGCCAGCATTAGTTCTGGCACATGTATGCGGGGAGTGTCCGAGGGAGAAAGGAGTGGGCGTAAAGCGTATAGACTGGACAACGTGAAGGGATAATGCATACACGGGATCATTTCTGTTTCGGAACTGTACCACGGTTCATTTATGCACATTAGTTCAGGTCGTTCCTAAGGAAGACAAGTGTGAGCCTTTGCTCAGTGAGGTGATAACGCAGCTCATGCATCGTAACTATGTGCTAAAGCACAATCCCAGTCAACCATGCACCGGCGCGACCGTTTTCCCGACCATGGCACGGTGCTGCTGCTGCTGTGATTTGTGCGGGAACATTGTGCATTTCTTGTACCGGATACAACCTAGTGGTTCCGCTGGCACAGCGCTGTTCTTTGTCCGAGGGCTTGTCGCCAGAGCAATTGTGTGGTATCCGACTTCTTGGTGCATAATGCAATAGTACTGACAGCATTGCAATCTGCTTTGATATCGCGTAAAAAACGTGCATCTAGGTCCACAGAAACTGTATCTTTGGACGGATGTTCAGAACAGTATGAAGCAGCTTTAACATCGCAAATACGCATTATCACGAGAAGGTTTAAGAACTACAATGTGAGCAATGTCTTTACTTCCTCGCGTGACAAAAATGCACTCGACGGCATCGGTGGGTCTGTCAAACGAGCAGTTTGCCGTGTTTGCTTTCAGCAACCAATACAAAATCGAATGCCAAGTCCAAGTACCTTCCCCGAGTCCGGTGACAAAAACCCTACAGGGAGTGTTCCACGCTTGAAAGGGCTTTTGAACTGAAACAGCCATCCTGAAGATCATTTGGTGGCTCAAGCCCTGCCCTTCGTAAGACCTAACCCCTCTAGTTCCGAGAGCTACACGTCCGCGAAGATGCGCACCTTTTCTGGGAGACTATTTCAAGGTCATCCAGGCATTCATGACGCTTATAACGCCATTTAAATCCTGCTACTCTTTTAGCCATACGGCAATCGCGGCCACGAAATGAAAAAAAGAAGAAAAGCCTGTCGATACTTCTATTTTTGGCGTTCGTGAGTGCCATTTCCAGATATAACGGCCGTCAATTGGCGCTCAATCAATGCTGTACAAAGTGCGATGACGTAATCAAACAATGACGCACTGAGGAGCACATTCACGACACAGAGAAATTGTGTTATCTTAGAGCATCCTCTCCACTAAAAAGTATATCAATAGTTATGAGTGAGCCCAATTTCATCGCATCTAACACTTGATTCAATATCTTCAAATGTGGAACATTTCCTTTAATGGAAGACTGAGTTTGTTTTGCTTCCCTTAACGACTGTTGGAGATCAAAGAGGAATCGGACACACGTTTCCGCAGCGCGCCACCCGTGTACGGAATTTAAACGTTCCGCCGCTTCTAACGGCGACGGGCCTAAACACGCCCCGGGTGGCCGACTGGATACCCTTCGCTCAGGTGGGATTGATTTGACCCCTTGATATCTCGAAAACTAAGCTAGCTAGGCACCAAAATCACAGGGCAGACTGTTCTGTACGTGAACTAACTTTAACTGTACTGTAACTGCACGTGTCAAAATTTGAGGTTACTAGGTTATGACCTTGGGATTAAACAACATAAAACAATATAAGACTCAAGACTTCGCGTCTCAAGTGTCCCAAATCTTCTCACACAACCGCCGTGAAGCTGGATATCTGTTCTAAGCAAGAGGCCAATGGCCAATGGTGACTGGCCACTGATGTTTAATTAAGGTCAGTGACCTTGATTTACCTTTGAAGGCCAAGGTGACCACAGAACTACAACATTGCTCCTATCTTGTCAGTTGATTAAAACATAAAGGCCATCTGTCGAGGAATTGCCCCAAACCAAAGCGGCAAGTCAAATAAATACGAAACAGTGAAAAAAAACACTGTCTGCACTTGTGGCAGTTTAATGTTTTTCCTTTGTAACCGCCAAAGTTCAACACTGAAGAAAGTTTTGCAAAATCGTTTGAAATTCAATGCCTTTCTTAACTGTATCAGAAACCTACAGCTAGATCAATAAAAGGCATACGTCTTATAGCAGGACGTCAAGCACTCACATAAGCAGACTGCAAAATGCACAAGCACAAGCATATACATAAGTGTATGCACAAGCATGCAGCATAACCATACGCATGACCAAACTGCATGAACATACACGCACAAGTGCCACTAATAGACAAGCCAATATTTCATACTAGACAACACTAAACACACAAAAAGCAAGCAAGCAAACCCGAGGTACCATTCAAAGCGTGCCAAAGCATACTAAATTACATTTCAGCAAGAGTATTCAAAGCACGCCCCACCTCTTCCATGGTTTCCGTGACATCCGGCCGTTCACAAAGCAGGTACTTCTTGCCATTGTGAATAACCACCTGTTGTTCATCCTGTGGCAAGTCAGAAAATCATGTTGTATTACTTTCTTGTGAAGGACATGAACTGAAGCACTGGGGTGAATAGCCTGTAAATTTACCTGTGATTACAGGAGTGTGGAGGTGAGTTTAATGCAACATACAGCTTTATTGTCAGTAAAAACAAGGTTTAATGATGCAAAATTCATTGCACTTGTTGTCTATCGAAGAATTTAATTGAGGACCACGCACGCACGCAGGCACGCACGCACGCACCACACCCACACACACACACCCACACACGCACACGCACACGCACACGCACACGCACACGCACACACACACACACACATATATATATATATATATATATATATATATATATATATATATATATATATATATAAAGCCTAGATGCATACACAAAGATGACTTGCTTTGCTGAAGCATCTGTACAGGGTGAGCGGATAGATTGCGAATTCTGGACACTAGACACAGACAATGTAATTATTGTGACTCGGGATGGCCACATAGAAAATCTGTAGATCAAGGGTGGTGTTCGCCTTTAAATGTCAGTCAGAGCGCCTTTTGCACCGATTTAGAACCCGCCGGGACAGCGCGGGCCTCTATTTCGGCGAGGGACCACCAACACCGAACCGCCGCCCCGCGCAGGTCTAAGCACTAGGACTGGGTTCCGACGCAGGGTTCGCGATTTGCATTGGTCGGACCTCTGGGACGGTCAGGGGCCCACAGCGCCGAACAAGGACCCTATGTCGGTATGGGTCCTGGGTCGACTAGCGCAACATTTTCTAAACAGGAACAGGGCTGGACCTCGAATGCCAAAGGGCCTCGCGCGTTGGCCGGGTTCTTAAGACAATGTAAGGACATATCAGACCTAGTGACGCGAGTCCAATAGAACAGCCCTGTGTGATTGTCGCAGCACCGGACGGGGAACCCCCATCCCATTTGAGCCAAGGGGCCTTCAGCCGAGCTGGATCACCCGTGCCAATTATTGAAGCCCCTGCGGCAATCATAGATTTTGTTGCAGCCAATGAGGGCTCTTGTATCTATATGGGGCCAACTGCCCAGGCCAGAGGGTTTGCCACGTCAGGGAAGAGACCAATGTATGGCATATCTATCTAATTGGGTCCTCCGAGTCGACTAGAACCCGCCCCGTGTCACCCGAATGGAAGCCGGTAGACATCCCGCGTTGGGACGGAATGGCCCTTCAGCCCTTGGGCGGGAACGATAAGGTGCCACATTATTCTACCCACGGGTCCCTTGTCTGGAAAAGGAACGGGGTCTCATTAGTGCTTAATACAGGAGACCGAAATCAGGTCGGAACCCCAAGAAGCCAACCCATGTCTGTATGAAAATGTCTATCTTTTTGCAAAATCGACTCGTGAAACAAATTACATGAGTGTTGAGTCTGCGCTCTAGGAACCTTAGGAGCAAGGACAGCTGTGGCATGGGTTGTAGTTTCCGCAAGCCAAAACCGCATTGGTCACTGCAGATGACACCAGGCGGTGGACGCCCTGCGCGCGAAAATGACCGCCGTGAAAAACTGCTTCCGAAAATCTTCCAGTCATTCTTATAGCATTTAAAAACCCACTGGGACGTCTATTTCATCTTTATCTCATCAGTCGCAGGGCGAACGCCATGGAAAGGTGGGGGGCTGTGGCGACAGCAACACCGGGCGTCGGGATATTCGTTGTCGCGCATGTCCAAACCCATGTTACACGATTTTGTCATTAATCAAATGCGCCTTGGGTTGAACATTCCTGGACATACATGGGCAAGCCATGTTAGTACATATTTGTAACTAAGTTTTGATCCACAATCTACATTCAAGGGGTCCTCACCATATCCGAAGGACAAAGAAAATCTGCCAAACCCTCTGGATGCATTGCTTTAGAGTTCACTACACCACTGTTAAATGAAAAGCGCTGGTAGACTTCTGTGCAGTCAATCAAGGCCCATCTCCTGCAATGTATTAACCCCCAAATACAAACAGAATTGCATCTTCCAGCAGCTTTTTGCCTGATGTCCCAAGCTCAAGAAGGTAAAAATGAAAACAATTAGGCCTCCCATAATCAAGTGGGTCATCATCAAACATAAATTTTTGACATAAATGAGTTTGCAGTCATATCTGACATGCAATGTTGTGCCTGCAGCTCTTAGATTTTTCCATACCACAGCAAGGGGGCCCAAATTGACCCCATTCTTTAGACCTGAGTATGTTGCATTCAGTAGACCACCTAGGAAAGCTTGGGATTCAATTTCTATTTCAAAGACTAACACAATTTGCAATGTGAGAATATTACAGTGTCAAAACCTCACCTCATACTATCCCTCCCCCCCCCCCCCTGCAGTGAGTCTTACAGTATGCTCTATCAAGCTTGTCTTCCACCCCTACCCAGTCTCCTCCATGCATCATGAAGTATATGAACAGCCCATTTTTGTTCTGGTGGTCATCACAGTTTTATAGAAACATGTACTGTTAACAGGTACAAAAAATTTGGTATTCCAAACATGAGATTTGCACCCTAACAAATCTGACAATATGCCAAGTGTGTGCTTTGCACATGCACAAATACCACAGAGCTCGCCTTCCAGTGGCCCAAGTTTACAAGACTCAGAAGTCCCCATTTATTTCAAAGGTCCACACAAAATGAACAGCAGCGGATCCATAAGTGTTTTGGACAGCAATGTGGGGTGTCGAAGATGCATTTGGCCTAGGTTTCAAAATATCATTGAATTTTGTTTTATTTTACCTCAATGAATATTCTAAAACCGCCAGTAAAAGTTTCTCCCTGGGGATAGCCTTACTCACCAGCCCTCATGCAATGCCTGTGAACCTAAAATTACAATGAATGGCTTTCTTTCCAGCAAGTTACAAATATTGAGTTGACTGGATCCTAAGTGCTTCCATCAGCACAAAAAAGGCACACCCATGAGTTGATGTATCTCAGTAGAAATTGGATGCTAGTGGCTCTGGAACAAAACAAGTGTTCAGTAATAAGATTCACTCATGGGTCTTCTAGGGAAAATATCAGCCAAACATTGGCTGATATCATCTGCATTGCAGATGTCATGTCTGTGGCAAAGGTTGATTACCCAAATCAGCAAACTGTTGGCTTACATTGCAGATTGATGACTGTACATTCACAGCAAACTTGACTGCCATGCATTTACCATCAAATGACAAAATAACCAGTGCTTGCAGCAGCAGTCACAATCAGCTAGCTGTGCAGCCAGACTGTCACTTTTGGCAACTGACTGACTGGGGTAGGGGGAACTGAAGGTGTTGTAAGTTTGTAACTCACCTGCCCCCAACCTGTGTTTTCTCTACATATTTTGCCAATTTTGTTTGAACAAATGACAATTTGTATTTTCCCTTAGTGTGTCCTTTTTACACTTTATTCAACAGCACAGTGGCTAAAGCCAGGACATCATGTCCAAAGAAGGAAGGCTTTGTGCAAATTCATATTTTCCCTCAATATTGTCATCTTCCAATAAAACATGTTGCAGGAGATTGAACCAACATAAGAGACCCAATTTACATTGTTGGTGCCAGGAACCTCATACAACCTACAGGGATAGTAACTGCCATCCCAGCAATGCAGTTAACTAAGATGTGGTAGTATTTTGATATATTGGCAGGTACATGATCGGTCATGCAATATTGTGCTGAAAGGTAAATAGATGTGCAATTCTGGTTTATATGAGATAGATTGCACCAGATGATGCAGGTAACTTTGGCTAGCACCCATTTTCACCATCCTTTGCTTGCTGGTGCAGCCAGAAATGTACAGTATGTGGGACACTGACAGGAAGTGCTGGTGTCATAGAAGAAACTAAACAAGCATCCATGGTAAAAGCACACAAATTATGATGGTTGATTGCAATTGGCAATTGGCAAGGTCATTACCATGGCCATATAAGGGTCATTGCCACATCTTCTATATCAAAGCCTCCACCAAAAATGCAGTTAGGATCTGGCTGTCAAGTGCTTCTCATTGCCATGTAATAATATACCATTCAATCCAGTTTGGCGAACTTCAAAAATCGTGGAATGTCTCGGAAATAACATGATCCTTCCCCTTAAAAAACACCAAGTGATCCCCTCTACAAACTAAGATAGCATGACAATAAGATTGGTACCATGCCAAGCCATTCACAGCAGATTAGCAACTTAATTCGAAAATACCTTTCCAGCATATCCGGTATTCCCAATCCATGGTCCACTTTAAATCTTTCGAGGGGCCTCCTCCCCACTGTTTGACCTTGCATGCTCGCCACGACCGGCGACTGCGGCGGCCAAGGTGCACCCAAGCAGGCCGCGGAAGCGGCTGACGGGTCGGCGGTCGAGTATTGGCCGAGGGTCCAACAGCGGACCTCCCAACAACTTAAATAAACTGCCCATATGGTGCACAACATAGTACGTGTGCACGTGTGGCTGAATAGCAGAGATTGTAACGACCGTCTTGTCGCTTTCAGGTCCATATCTCACGCCTTCGGAGGTGGCCACTTCGGCTGGTGTTTAAGTAGTCTCGGTGGCTCTCTGGCCCGGCCGATCTAAAATTGAAGTCCAACAACGGACAAAATCCCGCAAAATCAGGTGCAAAACCCACACAACTGATACAAGCTTGCCGCGCGTGTATTATGTGAAAAATGATGGACACTGCCCATTGTTCTTTGGATTGCGAGACTGAAATTGTGAGCTTTCTTTGTCAAAGCTGTCTGCGCGACACGCGGCCACGTGACCGGGAAACACCCCAGCTCCAGTAACAAACGTCTGTGCAGGCTAGATGCAGGGCCGGACAGGACGATACAAACGCGACACAAGTGACATACGGAGACACGTGTCGAACCATTCTGGTCGCTTGCTAATAGAACATGCCATTGTCCACACGGTCTTGTTGCGCTCGAACAACCGTCCATGCAGAGTAAACGAGACCCCGCTCCGGCGACAAAATCGAGCAATTTTACTTAGATGTTTCCTGCAAAATACACCCAATTACGACCTTGTTTCAAAAC